GTCATCTAGATAGACAATGACTTCAAGCATGTGCATATCGCCGACTGCCTTTTCCATAAGCCGTTGAAATGTCGCAGGGGCCCCTGTAATTCCCTGCGGCATCCGCTCGAATTGGAAAAATCCCAGGGGACAGATGAAAGCGGTTTTGTCTTTGTCCTCCTCAGCCATTGGGATTTGGTAATAGCCACTGCGCAGATCCAACACTGAAAACCACTTACTGCCTGACAAACAATCGAGAGCGTCGTCGATTCGGGGTACAGTGTACTGGTCTGGGATAGTTCTCCGGTTCAGGGTGCGGTAGTCGATGCACATACGAAGTTGCCCATTCTTTTTACGTGCAAGAACAATTGGTGAAGCATATGGACTTCTTGATTCTTTTATGATCCCAGCCGCCAATAAACCTTGCAAGTGACGTCGAAGGTCATCCAAATCCGCTGGGGCAATACGTCGAGATCTCTCTCTGAAGGGAGTGTTATCATTCAGGCGGATGTGATGTTCTACCCCTTTAGCCAGACCGACATCCCACTCTTCAACAGAGAACACCGGGGAATGTCTGGAAATCTTTTGACTCAGCCTCTCTTTCCACTCTTTGCTTATGGGTGACTCACTGAAGTCAAACAAAGAAGGATCCATAGCTGGAACAGATTCCACACTAGGGTTCGATGCATCGGTCACAACGTCAGCGACGTGAAGGTGAGCGATCACAGTGCCCATTGGAATGGCAGTTTGCTTCAGAGACTCATTACGCAGTAGCACCAGGAAGTTGTTTGAATCGAGCATCTTGGAGAACAACACAGTTGGCTGGACAAGTACACTTGAAGGAAGGGTAGGTGAGCGGGCTCGCTCAATGATGAGTATGCTGTCTCTGATGACTTGTGTTTCTTTAACTTTGCAGATAGCAATGTATTCAGTGCCAGGGGGAATTCTGAGAGGACCAGGCCCAGCCCATTTAACTTCAGCCACAGGCAGGTCTTTGTTGCCTTTTATGGTCATCCCTGCAGGAATGGGTAAATGGTTTTTCTCTTGCACGTGGATGTTGAGTGACTTTATGTTCTCCAGGTCCTCTTTTGTTGTTCTGGACTCGAAAAGCCGAACCCCCCTTACGTTTGTGCCGATAAGGACAGGTATAGTCTCGGAGCAACGTGGATCAGGGCACACCAAGGCCAAGACAGAAACAGACTGGACCTTGTGGGACTTCGATTTTTTTGGCAACTCCAACTCGATCTGGATGTACCCTTTGTACGGGTAGCTGCTCTCTGACTCACTTAGGCCCCATATGGCTAGACCGGTCACAGAATTTAACTGAATGTGTGATAGGTGTTTAGTATACCAGCTGTCGAAAATGATGGTAACTTGCGACCCACTGTCCATCAACGCGGTGCAGGGGTTGCCATTGATCCTGACCTGAGCAGTGGAGGGCGGTCCCACGAGTCCCTCGGGCAAACTGTTGGTCTGTACATTTACCGCGCTTCTCCTGACACTGGCATTTGTCGTCTTGGTTCTTGTTTCGTTTTCAGATGTGCGGTTCTGTTTGGACTTTCTTTGCGCTTGCAACAACTTCTGAATAACTTTGGGATAGTTCTCAGGAGAGACACACTTGGTGGCAAAGTGCCCGTCTTCCCCGCAGCGATAGCAGAAAAAATCAGTGGGGTCTCTGGCTGTAGAAGGTCTTTGCTGCCAGGGTTTTGGCTGGGTCTCTTGTGGGCAGGGCTCCGTAGCAGGACCATACTTGGGCTTGACTGACATGACTGAGACTTGTTTTCGGAGCTTTACTACTTCTTTCTTTAAAGCTTGAACGTTCTTGTCGTCAGAGTTCTCTGCCGCCGGAGTGACTGAGAGCAGTGTGCTCGTAGAAAGGTGACTTGGCATGGCGGCAGGGAAAGAGAGTTCACTTACTTGGTCTCTGAGTTGGTGTATTTCAGCTCTCAGATCTTTTAACTCTGTGTCGAAGGTCACAGTAGCGCTTTTGGCGTAGACGGCTTTGGGATTATGGAGTCTGCGACGTGAAGCTTCATGCTCCTCCTCCTGTCGTATCTCATTCAACAGCTCAAGAAAAGTGGGAGGATTGTTTCTGCGCTCTCTCAATCCGAGATTTAGCATCATAATATCAGATCTGATAGCCCCTTTAATGAATTGGTCAAGACGTGCTTTGTCTGCCTCCGATGACTGGAGTCCACCCTTTTTGACAACTTTATTTAGGATTCTCTCAAGACGTCTCAGGAACTCCGAGAGCTTCTCATTGGGGTACTGACACAACATTCGGAAAGCAAAGTAAAGTTCCTCACCGCTCTCTGGGTTGCCAAAAGTAGTCTCTAGAATGTCAATGTACTCCATAGAGGTTGCAGATGGGTTGTTGAAACGGACAGCTTGGAGGATCTCCAGTGCGGGACCCTTTACACTTTCCATTATTCTCATTTTCTTTTCTCTTTCCGGGCGATCGTATTCTTCAATTAAAAGTCTAGCTTGCTCAACCCAGTTTTCCAACTGTTCCTCTCCTGGGGGTGTGGGCATGACCCCTGAGAAAATGCGCAGTCTTCTGTAAAGATTGTGGTCACTATGTGGGGGCTGGCTGGCCCTTTGCAGGACATCACCAACTGCTCGAATGATAGCTTCAGGAGTTGAGGCTTGCAGTGGGGAAAAAGGACTGGAATCTGGCAGCGGCACATTTTGAGCATCACCAGCTGCCTGAGCTTGGGTTTCTCCCTCCTGCTGAGAAGGTCCAACGATCATCCAGGCCTCAGCAGACCCCTCAGGAAAAATATCAAGAGGAATGGCGTCGGTGTCCACATTCTCCCTGCACTCACATAGCACAGTTAGACTTTGCGACGTTGGGTCATACATTCTTCCTCTCACCCTGACTCTCCCGAGTGCTTTGACAGTCTGCATCGTTTTCCTCGATGAAACCAATTTCAGTGTCCGGGAGGTACATCTTTAACCAGCAAGGCTTTCACCGGGTCTATTCCTTCTCCAACACACCAGTTCTTCAACTGAGCCATCCCCACGGGTTGTGCACTTACTGTGACCACTTGTCAGAACTAAATTGGGTAGGTTTTACTTGTAGGTTAAAAGCTAACCAGCTATTGGTTTTAAACTACTTTTTAAACAAACTGTTTAAATCTCTGGGTCATACTAAAGTTAGAGCTAATTTAAACTA